GAGTCCAGCCCGGTGAGGTCCCCCCCCCACCCCCGCAGTCTGGGCCAGCGGCTGCCTCTGGGCGCTTCTGGCGCGGGTGTGCTGCGAGGTGGAAGCTGCTTGCCAGGCCCCGGGGAGTTACTGCCCTCGTCTGCGAGGGCCGCGTGCTCTGGCCTCAGCGAGGTGTTGGTCTGTCCTGGCTCCGGCCGGGGAGTGTGTGCCAGGCGTTCTGGAGAGCCCAGCCTCCAGGTAGCCGTGCCCGAGGCCATTTCCACTGCAGCTGCCAGTCCCCGCTCACCGCTGCTCCTGTGGGTCCCTGTTGTCCAGGGTGCAGGGCATCTGTCCCTCACACAGTGCAACCCCCTCTTTGGCGTTAGACCCAGGCAGCCTTTGGAGGTCCCGCATACAGCTGCTCCTGCCTCTTGTGAGTTGTGCTGCTGTGGTGCGACCGAAAACACCTTTTCTGGTCACTTCCTGCCGGACCGTAGCTTCTGGTGTGCCCTGGCGCCTCCTTCCCGTTTCCTGCTTCCCAGACTTCCTGAGCTGGTCTCTTTTATTTTTGTTTACCTCTTGATTTTTCTAAATGATTCTGCTTGCACACACCTTACTGCAGAGGACAGTGGTCTCCAAATGTAAATTAAAAATCACACTCAAGAGGTAGCAGAACATACTCTGCCACTGATGCTTCTCCTTGCAGACACGCACCGGGCCGACACTTGCCCTGCTGCCCTCCCACTCGCCCCCTTCTGAGGAGTTAGCGAGGGAAGGGATGGAGAGAAGATGGAACGTCTCACCAGCTCTTGGAGTCTGACCTGACTGCACATCCCACCACTGCGTGTGCTTACAGGGGTAGCGAGTCATTGCAGGTCGGGCATTTCTTCAGCTCTGCCTATTCCTGTGACGAGCTGGTTTCAAGTAGGAGTGTTACCATTTGCCAACCTGCTAGGCCAGGCAGGATGAGTAGCCAGGGAGGCAGCCATTCTGGGAACCACCTTTCTGTTGTCTGAACCGGAGAGCTTTTGTTTCGTTGGCTCATTTGCTTTGTTTCTTCATATTCTGCATGTAAGACAGTGTGTTGGGACACACTGCAGTCAGTGCATTGCAGTGAAACTGAAGAAATGAAAATTACACAGTACTCCAGGTACGCTGGTCATAATGCTGTCAGTCAGAAATCAAGATGCAAGCCTATGACTGTATGGAGCCCCAGTGATAAACTGCTGACAGCTATTGAATAAAAGAGGAAATGAAAGCAATAGTGGACAATTACCTTGAAGTGAATGAAAACGACATACAAACTACCAGAATTTATGTGGTGCAGCAAAAGGGAAGATGATTGCAATATGGGCCTGTATTTAAGAAGCAAGAAAAGTCACTTAATAATCAACAATACTCCACCTCTAGGAACTTGAAGAACAAGTAAGCCCCAGAATTAGAAGGAAGCAGTAAAAAGAGCAGAGGTAAATGGAGTAGACATCAAAAGACCGCACCAAAACATCAGCGACACTAGAAGTTGGCTCTTTGAGAAGATAAAAATAGGCAACCTCTAACTAGGCTAGAAGAAGAGGAACAATATTAGTAACTAGAATCACAAATGAAAGAGGAGAAATTGGCACAGCTAAACAAGTGCAGAGAAGCATAAGTTACTGTGAGCAGTTATATGCCAATAAACTCTGCAACTTTGAAAAATGGGCAAGTTTCTAGATCAGTATAGTTTGCCAAGACCAAGAAACAAGTGAGTTGAGGAATCTTGATCACAAGCATGAAAATCAAAGCTTTCCAAAAGGGAAAGCTCAGGACAAGATGAATCTTTAAAAAAGAAACAATATCCATCTTGCTCAAGTAGTTTCTAAAAATACAAGAGAGAATGTTCCCTCCAACACATCATGTAATGCCCTAGTGCCAAAACCAGGTAAAGCAGAAGAATGTTTAGACTAATATTCCTGAAGACCATCAGTCCAGAAATGCCGGCAGAACACTAGTGAGTCAAACTGGATAGTTCATCATCCATTTTAGACACTGGTCAGTGGGGTTTTCCTAGGACACAGTGGTCTAAACACGTAAGTAAATCAAAACTATCAACAAAACTAGAAATCCTGTCAGGTACAGAGAAAGATTTTGATGAGATTCTGCACACATGATGCTCTCAACAAGGTGGGAATAGAAAGAGCCTGTCTCAATGTAAAAAAAAAAAAAAATCCGCATATCACAAACCAACAGTTGATGTATTTAATGGAGAAATTTTTTTTTTTGAGATTTTGGTCAGAGCTCTGAGGCAAAAACAGGAGAAAGGGATTTAAGTCAGGAGACAAGTTCAACTCTATCACTAAATGCCATGCCATAGAAGATCCTGAAGACACATCAAAAGCTGTTAGAAACAGGTAAATACAGCAAGGTGCCCAGGTACAGTAGAAACACAAAACCCATAGTTTTTTATTGTGTGTGTACAAACAGCAAACAAGAAAAATCAAGAGGAGAACTGTATTTACAATTGCTTGTCACCTGACTCGAAGCTAAAGACACAGTAGTGTTGGCAGCAACACTTGACAAGGATCAGTGGAGTAGAATCAGAACCCAGAAATAAATCCACAGACATCTCAGCATCTAGTATATGATGAAGCAGCTCTGATCACACCCTAGGGTGAGGACAGTCACTTTAACAAATGGTTCTGGGAAAATTGGAAACATACGAGACTGAATTTGAATCCCTATAACTCCACACGAAACTCCAAATGGGCTAAAGATTTAGATACAAGACCTAGAGCAATAAAATGACTGATAACATGTCTCATGTTGTCAGTGATAAAGATGGTTTTGGAGATTTGAGCCCTAAAGCAAGGGAAGTAAAGCCGGTTGGGATTACCTCATTTAAAAAGAAGCTTTTACACAGTGAACTAATACAAGCTTAACGAGCCCCCCTTTTAAATGGATCAGGTGGTCCGACAGTATATAACAAGGCATTAATACCCAAGAGAAGCAGACACACACAGTTCAAAACTAAATAACCACACAATGGGCAGATGGTACGAACAGATAGTTTACCAAAGAGGATGTCCAGAAGGCAGAGACGTGAGAAAATGTCCGTCATCACTTCCAGTACGAGGGGAGCAGGTTAATGCAATGTGTGACACCTGAGGAGGGCCCGTGTCACAAAGACCCCCAACAACAAGTGCTGGAGAAGATGCAGGGAAGTCAGACCCTGTGATGGGAACATGACCAGGGCAGCCATTGTGGAAAGCAACCTAAAAACAGTGAAAATTCCGCTAGCCAGCACCTGGGCGTCTCGCCACAGAAAAGGAAACCGCCCCCACGGTGGCGCGCATCCTCCAGGTTCACGGCAGCTCTGTCTGCCGGAGCTGGGGCAGAAGCACCGTGACGCCCTCGCCAGCATGCTGTTCCGCTGTGAGCAAAGACGTGTGTGACAAGAGTTCCTTGGAGATCATCCTCGTGCATGCAGAAGCAAAGCCCGTTGCTGGCTGAAAGGGCTGCTGCCCGGGAGGCGGGTCAGAGCGGCCCAGGGTGGACGACGAGCAGGGCGCCGTGGTACGGTGGCAGTGCCGCGGCTCAGAGGTGCTGAGCGCTGGATCTTTAAGGTCTCATCCCGAGAGAAGTATTCATGGGCAGTGGTGACGTGGGCGAGTGCTGGGGTACGCTCAGGGCAGACGGTCACCGTGGCCGTCACCCGTAAGAACGCTGGAAGCCGTCAACAGCCACCAGCACCTGCAGAAGGCACCGGAACGTTTGGTCGCCCCTTCAGCAGAGGCTGCGGGGGCGGACATGCCACCCTGCTCCGTCCTCCCGGTGGCAGGTGGCGGCTGCTGGAGCAGCTCCAGACTCCTTCCCGTGCCCCCCTCGCCCACCCCGGCTCACCGGTTGTGTTTCTGGCCTCACCCTGCTGCCTCGGGACCCAGCGAGCGGTGCCGGCCCCTGTGCCCTCAGGGCAGCTGGTGTTTGCCCGAGACCTGCGTCTCCCGTCCTTGCAGAGGGCCCTTCTGGGATGGCCTAGTCTGAGCTGTCGTGTGAGCTCGTGCTTGCAGCAGTGGCCACCGCGGAGATGGGCCGCCCCCGCCCCTCCTGGGCCAGCCGCCGCCCTTCCGGAGTGGAGACAGGCCTGGTGCTCTGACCCCAGGGCAGAGGGTCAGTCGGGATCTGGACTTGAGGCGTCTCCCTTTGTGCTGAGCAGCGAGGCACGGACAGGTCTGCACAGAGCTGCAGGTCTGCCTGACCTCAGCAGCTGCATCAGGTGGTGCAAGACAAGTATCGAGGAAACGTGACTAAGAAGAACACATTGGGGCGCAGAGGAGGCAGGGAAGCCCCAGGAGGCCGCTGTGCTCCAGCTCTTCGGCATCTTCGGTGACTGTGCTGGGGCCCCCCTGGGGCGCAGCGCTGAGAGGCTGCAGCCGCTGCAGCGTGAGTTCGATCCCTGCCCGGAGGGGCCGCTCTGCTCCCCGCTGTGTCTCTGAGACAGTGAATCCTCTCGCCCCCTGCAGTTCTGGCCTGTACCCCAGTCTGTATCATAAATAATAAATGTTTACAAAAATGAATAAAAATGAATGTTGTGGAACGGTGCAGATTCGCGTGGAGGTTGCGAACGGAAGCAGAGGCACAGGGCCAGGCAGGGAGACGCCCTCCTGGCTCCCCCCGCGGCCGGGCACAGGGCGCGTGGCGGGCCCTCGGAGGCCAAGGCCGGGCAGTAACGTGACCTCTGTCCCCCTCAGTATGCGCAGATTTTAAGGGAGAGACTGAGAGAGTCCGTCCACGACGTCCAGTACGTGGAGCCCCCGCTGGATGACTCCATCGTGGACATCGGCAAGGAGTGGAAGAGCGCCCTGGCCAAGCTCAAGTTCGCGAACTCCTACAGGATGGAGCCGCTCAGGAAGTTCCAGGCGCACTCGGTGGAGGCCAGAGTGCAGCAGCTGCTGAAGGTGCGCGGGCGGGCGGGCGGCCGGACCTGCCGGGAGCCGTGTGCGGCCCGAGCCGCTGTGTCTTCAGAGTTGACCCGAGTGGTGGCTCTTCCTGATCTTAAATGAACACTGAAAGTCGCCCTGCTGAAACGTGACGCAGGCTCCTTCAGCCAAGTGCTCAGAAGCCAAGTGTTGGCGCTGATTTATC